AATGGGGTAAAAGAGGGGGACACCTGTAATACTTTCAACAATAAAAATAAATTTTTAAGAAGTATGGAAATTACAAAGATATTTTCCTCCCAAATTATTTGAAGTACAAATAATTTTCCATTGTTGTGCATTTTCTTTTCTTCAGGACCACCAGAAAAAAAAGTCGTGGTGCACCTTCATAAGTTGGATACAGCATATGATGACTTGGGCAATTCTGGCCACTTCACCATCATTTACAATCAAGGCTTTGAGATTGTGTTGAATGATTACAAGTGGTTTGCCTTTTTTAAGGTTAGTTTTGTTGGACGTTGCATTCATATTTTCATTTATTTAATATTTGAAGTCTCTTCTGATCAGTAGACCCTCAGAATTTTAAGTTTAAGAAGATAACCACAATTGACACCATGTTTCTCAAGAGAAAATAGACGGTGTAATTTTGCCAATTTATTTAAAATTATGACCTTAATAGATTAAAAAAACCCGACCTATATTTGAATATGTACAGTCCATCTATATTTAAATTTAAATGTTGCCTTCATTACTTGGCTTTGTACTGAATCTGCAGGAAAGAAATGGGTATTATAAAAAAAATTTGGAGTAATTATACTGTCTTTCTGACCATTGTTGGTTCTGAGAAATTGACCTAAGTAACTCATTGAAGCAATATGATGTACTAAGTATGTTAATGTGAATAACTTATTTGACTAAACTAAGACAAAGAGAGAGCATTGAAGTTACTCCTTGGGCTAATTAAAGTAAAACGTTGTCCAGCCCTGGCTGGTGTTGCTCAGTGGTTAGAGCATCCGCCTGTGCACCAAAAGGTCATGGGTTCAATTCCTGTTCAAGGGCACGTACCTAGGTTGCAAGTTTGAGCCCGGCCCTAGTCGTCACAGGTGTGGGAGGCAAGCAATTGATGTCTCTCTCTCTCACTCACTCTCTCTCAGTCCCCGTTCCTCCCTCGTCCCTCCTCCCTCCCTTCCACTCTCTCTAAAATCAATGGAAAAATATCCTCAAGTGAGGATTAACAACAACAACAAAAGTTGTCACTAGGAGAACTTTTTTTAATTCTCACCTGAATATGTTTATTGATTTTTTTTTTTTTTTTTAAGAGAGAGAAAGAGAGAGAGAGAGAGAGAGAGAGAGATCGATTGGTTGCCTCCTGTACACGCCCCGACTGGGGATCAAACCCACAACCTAGGTATATGCCCTGACCGGGAATTGAACCCATAACCTTTCAGTGTATAGGACAGTTTTCCGACCAGCTGAGCTTCCTGGCTGGGGCTATAGTCTGTTCTTATATGCTGACACATTGCTTTCAGTTGCAGGCACACTCCAGGGTAAAATAGTTTAGCATGGATTGTAGTCCATCCCAGATATCCTGCTGAAGTTGGAATTTTTCCTATTGGCAGAGTATGAAATGGTTTAAGTAAATTGAAACCACAAGCCTGAGGCTAGCTGTTTCTCATTTTAAATTGAATATAAATAAAGACAGACTTTCTCATGGGAATGGGGTTTCAGCCTTTGGAACATCTGGTAAGAGTTGTCTAATCCTAGGAATCGTGGGAAAGTGGGAGAGCGGCTCCATGGACGGTAAAAAGACAAAGTACCAACAAAAGACTAACTTGTAAATCTATTGTGATTTCTCTCATGGGTTGTGATTTAATCCCTAGGATATGGTGTTACATCGGAGCCAACCCTGTTTGTTTGAATAATAACTCCCAATATGTTTTTTATAATGAGGACCCCTCTTTAATAGGAAAAAAGAAAACAGGCAGAGAGGAAAAAATTGCCCCCCCCCCACCTGGATTGGTCGGTCTGCTACGCAGCTGGCTAGAACCATCTATCCATGTTGGCTGTTGAGGGTCAGAAGTCCATTTTATTAGTCAAAGCCCATGCTTGACCAGTTACTAAGTATTTTTCATATTATCCCTGGATGCTGTGTACTTTTTAAAATTACAAGAGTATGTGTATGAATTTTTAAAACTGTAGTGCATATGTGGTAAATGTTAATTCCATCTGGTTATAATTCTTGGCTTACATATTCCGGAGCCTAGAGCTTTGCAGACTTCTTACAGGTATTCTGTCACAGCCCTTCAGTACTTTTTGCCTTCAGGTTGAGAATTCCTATGGAATTGATGCACAAGGAAAGAGATAGTCAAGACTGTTGTTACTGTGTCTCATCCTGCCCCCTCCTTCCCCTCACCTTCCTCCCTTCTCCCTCCCCTCTGCCTACCCCCTCCTTTTTTTCTTGCTTGATACATAATCGACACTTAGTTCACATTTATTTTAAAAATGAACTGAAGTGGAACTCAGCTGAGAAATAGGTTGAATAAATTATGTAAATGTAAAATGAGGGATAGTATATACTTAGATAAGTAGTTTTATCATTTGGCTTAGAAAAGTTTTCATTCTTTACTTCTGTAGAATTGGAGAAACTGGTGGGGAAACTTCTAAAGTCAACATTTAATTACTTGTCTCCTACTCAGAAATAGATGGGCAATTTCCCTCCATTAATGTTTTTCAATCAGTTTACTCACAGCTTAAGTAGTCGGGGGCTGGTGACTGAAGGAGGAGCCAGTACACATCTTTGCATTTCTTTTTTTTTTTAAAACGTATCTTTATTAATTTCAGAGAGAGGAAAGGAGGGGTAGAGAGAGAGATAGAAACATCAGTGATGAGAAAGTCATTGATCGGCTAGCCCGCAACCCGGGCATGTGCCCTGACCGGGAATTGAACCCTGATCGCCTGGATCCCAGGTCGATGCTCAACCGCTGAGCCATGCCCAGCCGGGCTGCATTTCTTTTTAAATCACTATGTAAGCAGATTTGGCATTTTTTCATAGCCTCAGATCATTAATGGAAGGTCAAGAGAAAACCACTGTGTAACATCAAATGAGGTACTATAAGTGCTCTCAACCATAAGTGGGAAGAGTCAGTACAGGGTGGAGCAAAAGTAGGTTTACAGTTATGAGTACCTGAAACAGTTTATTCTTGTATTATTTATTAATTACTGCATTATTTTCAATATGAACAACTGTAAACCTACGTTTGCCTCACTGTAGGACATTATCTTCTNATTTATTAATTACTGCATTATTTTCAGTATGAACAACTGTAAACCTACGTTTGCCTCACTGTAGGACATTATCTTCTTCTGGATGGTATTCTCTGACCGGTCAGTAGTTAGGACTTACAATGAAGGTCATATAAACAAGCTGAGTAGAATATACATAAGGTGCTTGGTTTTAAAATTTCTCTTAACTTAAGCAGTTCCAGATAAACATTTTGCACTGATAAAATCTTTTCCGTTTTGCAAATATAACCGAAAGATAGCGAGAGCAGAGTTTTACAAATTTTAAGAAACTGATAGAGTGCAGTTGATTTTAGAGAACAGGAAAGTCAAGCGCTTTTGGTGACACTTGCTAACACAAAAAGCTTGCTGGATTTCACACTAAGCATCAGGGTATTTTCTGCAGTGGTGCCGGGGAAACCGTACTGGGTGGGTAACTCAGGAAAACCACAAACCTGTTTAAAGAGTAAAGTACATGAGAACTTTTTCCTACAGACATAGAGAGTATCTTTCAAATAAAGATTAATTAATTTTTTAAAATGAACAATTATCAAAACGTAGCCAGTGTTTTGTTCAAGTGTCTTATGTAAACTACAGTGTTTCCCGCTCAGTTTATGGCCATGACAGAAGCATCTGGCGAATTTTTGCCACATATACCTGCCATCATCATTCTCTACATTGTTATTCTGCAAGTCAGCTGGATTTCCAGATCTCTCCACTGGCTCATAGCAGACCCTACCACTGGTTTCCTTTTGCCCTCTTCAGATACACTTTCATCAGCTTGTTTCTTACTGTTCCTGCTAGATGGAGCATGCTGAGCAAGTGATACGCACAGGATATTCTGTTAGGCTCCTGCTCCCCCCTCTCCTCCCCCAGAGCATCCTGCAGCTCAGCAGAGCAGACAGCTTCCATTCCCTTCTCCCAGATTTCCATCTTTGAAGCAATTGCATTACCACTTCTACTGCTAGGAGCTTGCTTTCGTAAGGTCTTCAGGCCTCACTTGGAAGATGAACATTTTTCATGACTTGAGGTTCCTGTGCCTTTTTTCCCTTGGTTTTATTTGCTTGATAATCTGTCTTTATTTTTGCATGTGACTTCAAGCTAGATAAAAGTTTGGCAGGAAGTGAATCTTGACACTGAAAGTCTGTATAGTTTGAGTTGGGCAGAAAGCAGACGATAAATATTCTTAAAAGATACTTTTTCCTTCTCAGCTTCCTGTAGACATTCAGTTATCTGATCACTTTATGGGGGTTACAAATTCAGATGCCTTCAGGGCCCACCCAGGCAGGTACCTAAACATTTGAAAAAACCTTATGTAAAACAACAAAGAGTAATTAGATCTATGGCAAAATAGAAACTTTCTTAGAGGTCTTCATTTCAATTTTCTTTTCAAACAATATGCTACCCAAAATAAAATACAATACTGTCTGCAGGCAAGTTTCTAAGACTTATCAGATTTTAATAGCATTTACCATTTGATTATAGTTGGCACACTCCAGTGAATTGGCACCCCTCAAAAGTACCTGCAGATTAAAAGCAGCCAACTCCTTATAAAAATACAATGTAACAGAACAGTGTAAAGGACATTTAATTATCATTGCCTTTATGTGATGGATGGATAAGTGATAATATTTTCTTCTTTATGCTGTTATGTACTTTGTTTTTTCGTTGGGTGTTTTGTTTTGTTTTTGATGGGCTTGTATGAAGCTCCTCACTGTACCGCTCTGTCTACCATATCACCCAGTGGAAGGAAGTCATATGAAACAAACTTAAACTCCAAAGAAAACCCTCAAGTTGAATAGGCTTTCTAACCTTTTACTGTTTTTCATTTCTCTCAGGCCCTAAAAGGGAGCAGTAGAGGAGCTGATTTTATTTTGAAGATTAAGTTATACTAGGGCTGAAGAAGATGTATAGAAGGAAAACTAGACTCATTGTGGCTAAAAATTTTATTTGGTGATCGTCAAGCAAACTTCACTGATTTCTAATTGAGTTTCCGTTTTGGGCCCAACAATCTTAGTAGAACTGGAAGCTAAAAAATAACTGCCATAGTGTTTCTTAAGCAGGTTGCTACTCAGAACAGGGAAATTTGGAAATCTTGGGATGTTTGGGAAATGGTTGGTGAAATCCATACCAAAGGTTTTATTTGCCCATTTTGTCCTCCAGGGACTTATAAGTTTTAAGGTTGTCACAGCCAGAAATGTCAGTCATGTGTTTCCACAGTAACGGACTTGGGAATCTCCTACAATTTTCCCACTGTGCCTTCTGGGTTCATTTTTAAGATGTAACAATTCAGCTTTTAGAATACTTGTTACTGGAATAGGTTTACTTGTTTCATTGTAAATTCAATACACAATATTGGGCTATTTTTTAAAAAACACCTTGGGATTTACTTGTAAGTGTTTCAATTGAGGGAAGGAATCAGAAGCTTAACACCTAATGCATGCCTAACTTCGTATTTTGGTTTTCTTTCATGATGATGTTTAATCTCAACATAATGACTCAGTTTCCCATTGTAAACTCTTCATAGGATGTCACTGATTTTATCAGTCAGTTGTTCATGCAGCTGGGAACTGTGGGGATATATGATTTACCGTATCGGAGGACCAAACTGGGTGAGCGCCACTGAAACATTTTTAACTTCCTTGTTAAAAGCAAGCTTCCCTCTTCCTGGTGGCTTATGCAAATTAATGAGTATTTATTCACCAGGGAGATGGAGAGGAGACTGGAGAGATTATGGGTTGTCTTGTAGATTTCTTGCTTGAGCCTGCTAACTTGCCACCTTTTACATGCCTGCACTATTTTGTGTGAATGATTTCTCGCTTTACCATGTTCTCTTTGCCCACATCACGTTACCTCTCCCCAGGTAGGCTGCTTATAACATAAATAGACATGAACCCAAAAAGGTAAAGACCCAGTTAAGGAAAGGTCGGCTTAAGTTCAGTTCAAAGCCTTGAAGCAGCTGTGCTCCCTCAGATTGTTCATTTTTGTTTTTCCTAAAAGGACTCGGGGAACCGTGGGAGGCCAGGCCCTTCAAGCCTGTCTTCCAGGAGAGAAGAAGGTGACTCTTCCCGAGAAAGTGACATGCCTGTTACTCATTCCTGTGGGAGATCACCTGTCTTTTTAAAAATGGCCCCTCCCCCAGAAAGTAAAATACAGACTGGGAGAAGAGCATATTTTCAGTCTTTACATTCGCACACTTTCAGAAGAGATGTTTAAATCATTGCTTACACTGGACCCATTAACTTAGACGTCCAGAATTTTGATGGAAAAATGGGTGGTTAGAGAGTAAAGTTGGTAGGGACTTAACCTTCCTTGCATTTTAACAACATTTTTATCCCCTTTTCCTTCCTCCATTACTTAGCTCTTAAGTACTAGAGGTCAGAAATGAAAAATGGAACTGGCTATATAGCCTTATCCTATAACAGCATTTGCCAAACTATTTAATGGCCCAACAGTGGTCCGCACATCTGCCAGGTACAATTACTCATTAAGTACAACATTTCATCTCGTTAAGCTTTAGAGATCATTCCAGGCAGCCACTAATAGCAGATCAAAATGAAAATTAGAGCTGAAAAAACTAATGAGCTGTTTCTTCACAGTTCTTTTCTGGTAGTTGAATAAGTGTAGATTGAGTTAAATAATTCCCTTTATTTCAGAACGTCTCAGAATCTTTATTGTATGTTGATAGCTTAGGAGAAAGATATAATAGGAAGCGTTCCCAAAATAAACTCACCGTTTTTTCCTTACAAAAAGTAAGGGATTCTCAGAATGTAGTTTATGCAGTTCTGGCTTAAAACTCTCACTCTTCCTCCTAATGATGGAGACACCTCCACCAGTAGGAAAGACAGTCCCTTGTATTTGCTCTTAAATGGGATAAATAGCCTTGTACCTGGAAATATGGATCCAAGCAGCACTAAGCCTACATTTGGAATTCGTAAGGTATACATGCTAATGTACCTAGGTTGCTAGATTAGCCCGTTTCTTAAGTACATTTCAAAATTGTATCAGGTTTCTACAGTGGCTGTTAATTTCAAATGCATCTGCATGTGCTGCTTGGGCCTGCTGGCTGCATGGGCAATTCGTGTTGTGCTTCAGCATTCTGCTTCTGAGAATGGCGGCTTTTTGGGAATGTCTTAAATAGCATTAAAAAAAACAAAACTAGCATCTCAAATACTAGTTCTGGTATTTTTTTTACTTACAGAAATTAATATGATTAAGCATTGTTAAGGGACAGTTTTAACTCTAGTTTTTATTGTCTTGTAGTTGTTAAATAGAGCATCTGTTGAGGGGCTCTTTTAAAACCACAGCCCCAAACAGGCTTTGGGGCTGAGAGGCAGAGCAGCCTGCAGCACTGGACCCACCTACCTCTCACAGCTAGCGGAGGCTGGCCTCCTAGCAGCCGCAGAGCCTTCTGGAGTCTTTATGTGCATGTAACATGCAGAGGCGTCCTGGTGACCTACCTCCAAGGCAGCTGCCCTACCGAACGTTTCCGTGGAAAGCAGCCCAGCATCATGTTGGAATGTGGTCAGAGACTACGCAGGAGAAAGAAAAAAATATTCTGGAAGTCTTAGGTGGCCTCACCTTGCAGCCTTTGAGTAAAAGGAACAGTACGCAACATGAGGTTTTTTCTCTTTGGGACACTCTTCTCTTGAAATGATTTTTCCAAACAGGCTGGGATTGGAATTTTATTTTTCATTTTGTTCACAGTGCAAATTTTATTCCCAGTTACATTACCTTCCTGAAGGCCTTTTCTGATGACCTTGAGGAACCCCAGCGCCTGTTGTAAGGATAAAATAAGGCTTCAGAATATCTTGAGATGCGCAGCTATGTTGTTATTGGTGGGAAGATGGTCCTGTGGAAGAGGCTTCCTGAGATGAGCCAAACTCCCAAAGGGTGTCTTCTTGTAGATCATAGGCTGGCAGTAACCTGGCCAGAAAGGGGCTAAGAACTTGAGGTACTTTTACCTTACAAAAATCCTACAAAGTAAACATCACTAGTCTTCATTTCCTGGGGGGGAAGGAGGGTAATTGGTATCAGAGAGTATTTAAGCTCCCACAGCTTAAGTGTTAAATGATAAGGGCTAGACTTTCAAACCTAAGCATTTCCTTGGGGCTAAAGAGGGAAAGAAAGGCCCTTTCACAGGGAAGTACAAGTACTTGGATTCGCATTTGGGTAGATTTTCTGGTGAGTCGCAGTCTGTAAACATCGCAAATGTCAGTTTAATGGAATAGAATACGCACCACATTGGCTCCTCTTGAGATTTTAGAATTGGCTTGAAGTTTAGGTTTCCTTTCCAAATGAGGCTGTTCGCTCTTTCCCAAGCCAGGGTCCTGTCATTTAAGACAAAAAAAATTACCTTCACCTTCCCTTTATAGTCCCCCAAATTGTAAGGAGAGCTTTGTAATCTTCAAATTAAGTGCAATTTAAGTACCTTTGCCAAGTTCACTTCTCTTAATACCACTATTGTTCATACCGATGGCTATCATTTAGCTCTTTCCTGCTGAACAATGGCCTAGTTTCCTCCACAGTTGTTCAGACCTGATTAATATCAGCCTTGGTAAACCAAAAATGTGGGCCTCCACCTAATGCATATTGTCTGGGAGGACTTCCCTCCTGCACCCCTGCTTGAACGGAGGAATCTTTCTCTAGACAGCAGGTTGCCATCGTTACACTGAGTTCAGATAACTTGATGCCATCTGAGGGTCTCTGGTCTGCATTTCTGGGAAGGCTGTATCTTACAACGATGAAGTTAACAGTACAGCCAACTGCTACCTGGATACTTTCTTCCATCCTACCTCTGGACCCGATCATTCCTCTTCACTCAGGACCTTATGTCACCTCTGTGAAACCCTCCCCTACTCTCTGTTAGTGGGAGAAACCCCATTATTTTGGTTCTTGTGCTTTGCTGGTACCTCCACTCAGGTAGTGCTAACCCTGCTGGAATGGAATGATGTGACTGCATGTTTTCATCGTTGTCCAGGCTGAAAATCTCTTAATTTCCCCATATATGTTAAGCAGCTCATGCCCATAGAGATTTATAGATACTTGGAAGATTGACCATGCTTCTCTTGTCTTTTCAAAGATTTCTCACAGGTAATGCGGCTTACAAATAATTAATTCTATAGGGTAATAGAAGCACAAATCAGGAATAGTACTATGTGTATAGTTTGGGTTCTCTGCTCTAAAATATATCAGGTTACCTGCCTCCAGTGTCCTGACAGAGTTGTATGTTTTCAAACTGATTTTCAGGATGTAAATACTGACAAAGCAACCAATGTGTATAAAACATGTATTACGGAATTTAAAATCACCCCTACAAAAGTGATTTTTTTGTTTGTTTCTCTAAGAGTCACTGTGCATCTAAATGCTTGTATTGATTATGGAAGAAGAGAAGATTTGGTGGGTACGAAATTGCAAATACATGTGTTAGAAGGCTGCATGATACAGGACTGCTTAGCATTCTCTGTTGTAATTGCCTGCTTGTCCTGTCCTCTGGTCGTTAAACTCCGTGACAGCAGGGATCAACTCTGTATTATTGACCATTTTATTTTATTCCCTATGTATAGCACAATGTGTGAAAATGATAGGGCTTCAATAAATATTTGCAAAAGAAAGAGAACTGAGTAATATATCATTGTGTTGTATGTTGTTTTATTGATATGTTTCCAGAATTACTGTTACCTCTGAGTCCTCAGAGCCTATTGTGGATCCTCAGGTCTTACTTGTAGAATGACTTTGTAGAAGACAGATGGGGCTTTTAAATTTTATTCTGTTTATTTATTTATGTTTTAATTTTTGTGTGAGACAACAGAGGCCAAGATAGGACTCAAAGTTAAAAAGAGTAAACTTTCAGAATTACTAAAAACTAAATCAGCTGTCAGGGGAAATAACTTTATGACCGCCGTGGTTCCCCAGACCCTGGAGAGTCAGCTAGCCTGGGATGCTGTAGGTTGTGCCGCATTCCTGTTACGCACAGCTGGAAACACCAGCTAAATGAACACTGGGATTCTCCCAAGCTCACAGTGTTCGGAGTTTATGAGCCAGGGATGTAAAGATACCATACGGAATGTAGTCAGTAATACTGTGATAACTAGGTATGGTGTCAGATGGGTAGTGTTGAGGTGATCACATTGTAAGTTACATAAATGTCTAAGTTGTACATCTGAAATTAATACTGTATGTCAAGTATAATAGAAAAATACATTTAAAATAAAAAGAGTTTATGAGCAAGTAAGTGATGAACGAGCCAAGGGATTTTGGCTCCTTTGCTGAGTGGTAAATTGCTCGTTTTTGTTTGTTTGTTTACTAGTTTTAGAACATATACTTTGTTTTAACTGACTACCTTTTCAGTACTGGAAATAAATAAATTTATGACCCTCCATTTTTACATGTAATGCTATCTTCCGATTTCTTCAGTAAAAGGCTGGAAGTTATTTGGTTGCAACCACTGTGACAGTTTCCTAATTCATTAAAATTCTATTTTTTAAAAACTGGTTAACTAAGTCTATTTAGTAAGCAGAAAACTAGAGCAAACCGTTGAAACTAACGTGGGGAAGCTTGTCTCTTCCTGAGGAAAGCTGCGGCACTCTTGCCCTGCCGGAGTGGCTCGGTGGAGCGGCCTCCTGTGCACCGAAGGGTTGCCGGGTCCGTTCATGGTCAGGCACATGCCCGGGTTACGGGTTTGATTCCCAGTTGGTGAGCAAAGGAAGGCAGCCCTTTGCCGTTTCTCTCACATCT